AATAGAATATATTCTGAATTTAGGTCTATTTGAATCAATAATTTAATATCATTTATTATTTATTAGAAAACAGCTCAGCGAGTAAAGGTAGCAAAGTATTTGTTTAAAGAAAATGACCAACGAATTACGAAATACGAAAGGCAACCTTATGTCTGAATTGTTGTCGAATTGATACTAAATTGAAGCTAATTTTAGGCTGATTTATAGTTGAATTGCTTGTCTGATTGAAGTCGATCAGCGTTAATTAGCGTCTGAATTATTGCCGAATTGAGGCTAATTTTAGGCTGATTTATGGTTATTTAAGTTCTGAATTGATGCCAAATGGTTATATCTGATTGGAGTTGATTAGCGTCTATTGGCATCTGAATTGTTGCCGAATTGAAACCAGTTTTAGGCTGATTTATGGTTGAATTTAAGTTTTGAATGGCCATATCTGATTGAAGTCGATTGGTGTCTATCAGCACCTGTTTGTACTAATCGGAAAACATGGCAAATCAGCCATAAATAGTATCAAAATCAGCCTAAAATCAGCCATTTGATTTTTAGCTGATTTGGACTATTTTGACTAGTGAGGCCAGCCTCCATTGCACTATTAGTTCCATCTTTTATGATGGTTCTAAATGGGTCTACTAACTATAACCTCTATATTATCAGAAAGGCTTGAGACATAAAAACCTTATACATAGATAACTTCAAAGGTCATTATATTCTACAAATTCGTAATCTATTCACATGTATAATTTGCTTTTACCTCATGATATTTATTCCTGGAATTAAACCAGTAAAATTCACAGTAAATTAATATTATGATCTGCACTTAGCTGGTGTTAAACTGAGATTGAGATCTATTGCAGTATAACTTACAATAAGGACTCGCACCTTACGGTTTGAGCCAGAAGCGCCAATTCCGTTTTCATAAGTATTTTAGGGACTTGAATTTTTACAGTAATGAAAATAATATTTGTCATACAATAACCATCACATCCTTAGATTTAGGATTAGGTCAGGTTAGGGATTATGCATAATGCGAGCCAAATATCACGTGATCGACAAATTTTTCGTTCTCTGTCTGCATACGTGATCTTAAACTAATGAAATCTCTTATTTTAGAAAGTTTTAAGATCACTTCAGACTCAACAATAGTTTGATTTGATATGTGACGATCTTCACAAGTATAATCTGAAATTTTAAATATATTTTTTAATATGCTTAACAAGTTTACTTAGTGAAGAAAATATTATAGCTGAAATTTTGTATTAAAACACGAAAATTCTGTATTAATATATAATATAAATTTTATAAATCTATAAAACTTTAAGATATATTTAACTCATCATGACGCTTATTTTACTAAAATCGATTAAATTATAAAAAAAAGTTCAATATGAACTAAGATTTCCATCGATTTTGTAATTTTTAAGTGTACGGTGACCTTGATATCCTACTGTACACGCAAAAAATAAATAATAATACGTGTCTTCATTTACTTATTGTTTAAATATGTGTGAAATATAATAATAATTCTTTAATGCCACCAATTGATAAGTATCAAATATTATACTAATCTAATAATATATTAATTCAACTTTTGATATTATTTTTATTAAATATAAAATTCATTAAAAAAATACAAATAAAAATACAAATTAAATGATCTTAATTTATCTAAATAGAAATTAAATCATTACTATAGTGGTGTCAATTCATATTGCAGTTATTAGGTGGGGGAAATATCGATCTTTAACCCTCATCTACTCTTTTTCACTTTCTTTTTGTACATTTCCAAAACTAGGTAATTTTAAAGAAGCCAAAGAAAATCTAGAAGTAACCAAACCAGTAATTCCTAAATCATCTGCCGCCTTTTCACCTTGTACATTAAAGATTTCGTCAATAATAATACTTTTACTAATTAGTTCAGCATCGTCCATACTTAATAAAGCTGACGATGATAACGGGGGTGTTGTAGGTGCGCTTTTAGCTTGATTATCATTATTTGTTATAATAGCAGTAACTGGAGATCTTAAATCTAAGCTGGACGATGAACTATGTGAAATATATGGCGGCTTATTAACGCTTGTTAACGCTTCATCTACTCCAAATGTAGAATATTCTTTCCTAGTTAATTGATTCTCAAACTGATATAGTCTTAAAGCTGTCACGGCCTGTACGTGCTGTAATTCAACTGCAATATCAACTGGAACCTACAAATGAAATTTTCGTCTTTTTTATTAAAAATTTTCAAATGATCATAATAATAATAAAATTATATAAATCATTACCTTTCCATTTCTATCTTTTAAATGGATATCAGCGTGTCTCTTCATTAGAGTTAATAACAATCTAGAATTATTTGTAGCTGCAGCATGGTGAAGCCCACTCCATCCATCATTATCTACTTCATTGATGTCACTAAACCATTGAAGTAAAAATTCTACCGAAACATTATCGTTCCTTAATATTGCTTGATGTAATGCTGTAGTAGAATTTCTCTCCTCATTCTTCCAATCAACATTTGCTCCGAGTGATAAATTTCTCAAAGCCTCATAAATATTTGACTTAGACATAGCATCCCAAAATGCCTTTAATAAATACAATATTATTATGGTTAGATAAAAATATCGAAATTATAGGAACTTTGCTTATATTCTTACCAAATCTACTGAACCTTCAATTTCATTTTCTTTAGTAACTTGAAACACCTTCCTAACATATTTGTCTGTAATGAAATTTTCTCTCTCGGCTCTAAAAAAAAAAAAAAAAAAAATTACGGGAAGAAATAAATAATTTAAACAACCTATATTCCAAAAGCATACCTTTCCCAAGAAGTAGAATTAGCCATGATGATTTCATTGTCACCGGAAAGCTTTGCTTCATAGATTGAGTTTGTTTTCAAATTTCCTAATTTAAGCATAACTGCAAGCGACTCCGGTTCCCATTTATCCAACATTAATGACCTAACCTTACTGACGTGAACACCTAAACTACGGTGAATTCCAGAACATTCTATACACAACAACGTACCAAAATTTGTACTTGCCCATTGTGGATCTAACAAAATAATTTTTCATCATAATATATCATCAGTTAAATTTTTTGGTATAACAAATAAATTTTCTTTTTTTTTACCTTTTGATCTACAATCTACACAAACGTCATTTCCCGCTAATTTTTTTATCCGCATAATGGATTTTTTTGATCTATTTACATTACCATTAACTCCACTTTTTGAATTTTGTTCACTAAAGTAAGTATCCTGCAGTGATTCCTAAAAGACAAATTAATTCATTAAAATAGATAAAAGCAGCATAAATATAACACAAAGGATCAACCATCCACTCACCTGCAATTGATCTGAACTATCTGCCACGAATATTGTAACTGAATCGGAATATAATGCGTATTGAGCTGCTGTTTGTAAGCAAAATATCCAATCTTCCATATCTTTCTGATTCTCAGCTTGTAGCGTACAGGTTCTTAAATCAAAAATATTTAAATTTAACAATTCAACATAAATAAAAATCCCACTTTCTTTAATCTTTTTTTTTGTATTAGAAACGACAACTTACTTATTTGGAGATATTATCTCAAAACAAAACCGTCTATCTAAACTATCAACGGGTTTAATATGACAAAGACGTAATATTATAGATCCCATCTCATTTTCTTCCTTTGAATACAGCAATTAAGATTAAAACAAAAATTTTTTTTAAAACTATTAATTTAAAAAAAACGTTTAATTTCTCATACTTTTCCCCCTCTGCTGACGCAAAATAATTGTCCATCTGAAATGAAAAAATATTTGCGAGTCCAAGTCTGGATGACTCGTTGATTTCTTTTCATAAATAAATAGCCAGATTTTGTCACAGGAGAATAATTCTCTCCTAAAGACACAGGATCTTTTGTAGATTTTTTATAAGAATGTAATGGATTATATGATTCTTTGGATTGCTATGAATAAACAAAAATGTTAAAATTTACGAATATCCTCATTCAACAGTTAAAGAAATTTCTCTACCTCCAAAATTGATTTTTTTAAATGTCGTGATTCTTTAACGTCTCTGTTATATTTTGTCCTTGCCTAAATAAATAAATCAAGAGCTGTCAGGAGTATCAAGGTATGAGACACAATAAATCATATGATATAACTAGCAAAGAACATATATTTATAAAGTGTTGTTTACCTCATGAAGCAATTCTATTCCAACATAAAATCATCAATGAAAAATAATAAATCAGAATCGATATTTTAATTTCCATATTGATTAAAAAAAAATTATTCTCACTTGTAACATCTTTCATATGATTTTCCATATCTTTCAAAATTTCGTAACATTGATGATAAAATGATGATTCTGTAAACATCAAAGCCAAGATCTAAATTAAAAATGAAAAGTTAATATATAATCCTAATGATGTCAAAACTTATAATCAACGTAAAAGACCCTTACATATTCAATAAATTCAAATTTTTTCTTGGCCCCCAACTCATTTATTTTGATTACATAATTAAGGTATCGGTCATGAAATTCTTTTCGAGTTTCTGAAACTTCTATGGATGCCTTAAAAAATTATTTTCAATAAAGTATTTTCGGGAGAAAAAGAAATCATCAAATCGAATCATACTAATACATTTACCTCTGAAATTGTTATATCTCTAGGTCGTTTGCTCATATATTTAGAGAGTGCAGAATCAACTTCGTAGCTTGCCTTTTCCGTACCTTTTTTCATATCCTAGAATAAAATTATAATTATTACATGATTTCTCTTAAATCTTATTTGTGATGAACTTACCTTTAATGGTATTATTTCATTTTTAGCAAACGCTTCCAATGGTTCTATAAACATGTCATACATATGCGATTGCTTAAAATAAAATGAATTTAATAAGATAAATAGATGTCTATCAAAAAGCAAATATGGAATATTTGTTTCTTACGAGAATTTTTCGACTTCTTTCAACTTCTTGTAATGAATTCGCATATTTTAGTAAAACGGTTTCTATTTTTTTTTTAAAAAATAAAATAAAATGTTTAAAAAGGACTAAATAATGATTTACAATATTTGTGAATACCTTAACCTTACTCACTGATAATTGATTCGGGTTGCTGTTTTGCAAAATTTCCAAATTCTTCGGCAAACTTTAGTTGCTTAGCCGTATACTCTATCAGACATTCCAAAATGAATTCAATTAGAAAAATCAATTATCGTCAATACAAGTAAAAACTCGTAAATTTACCGGATGCAAGTTCAGCACTAGCTCTTGCTAATTTGACAAAATTCTTTATAGTAATTTCAAGTCCAAAAACCGAATTTTCACAATCCGATAATTCTTTACGAAAATTTGGCGGATCTTCTAAACATAAATAAAGATTTAAAGGTGTTGTCATTTTTTAAGTTAAATTAATAAAAATCCTAAAACTATTAAGATAGTTTAGAAATCGTTTAGAGTTTATATATCGTTTAGAGTTTATATCATAGCAAATAGTAAGTCGAAGATCCGATAAATCTGATTGGTTGTGACGAATTGGTTCTTGGTCACACTTATAAAAATGCCGACTGTGCATTTACAACTCTTTTTTTTTTTTTTTCGCATTTCATTGACAAAACTACGCATTTAATTAATTATTTTTGTAAAGCCTTCCTAAAATAAAAAAAATGGCAAAACATCATCCAGATTTGATTATGTGCCGTAAGCAGCCAGGAATTGGTAAGTAAAAATTGGATCGAATTTTTTTATTAGTAATAAAGGTGATTAAAAATATATATATATATTAAATTTTTTTTTGATATCTCAGCAATCGGTCGTTTATGCGAGAAATGTGATGGCAAATGCGTTATTTGCGACTCGTAAGTGAAAAGTTCTTTACTATTTTATATACCATTTTATATGCTTATGTGATAACTTATTTATTCATTAAAGATATGTGCGACCGGATACTCTTGTTCGGTGAGTGCTTAATTAAAAGAAAAAGTTATAAGATTTTAGTTCTAACTTTGCTTTTCATTCTGCAATGGTTTTTTTTAACAGAATTTGTGATGAATGTAATTATGGATCTTATCAAGGTCGTTGCGTGATCTGTGGTGCACCAGGTGTTTCAGATGCGTATTATTGTAAAGAATGCGTTTTACAGGAGAAAGATGTGAGAATTTTTTTTTTTTTCTTTTCCTTTTATTCGTTTATCATCAAATTACTAAAAATTTGATTTGATTATAGAGAGATGGATGTCCAAAGATTGTTAATCTGGGATCTTCGAAAACAGATCTATTTTATGAACGGAAAAAATATGGGTTTAAGAAAAGATGATATTTATTGTTTTGGTGTGGCGTGGCGTATTACGTTTGGGGTAAACTTTTTTTTGGAAGGAAATTTACTGAATTTTTTTTTTTTATATCTATATCACACAACAACACTGTAAATGTAAGTGAAATTCTATATCAAATTGTTTGCTTTATTGGAAATCTCAGAGCTATTCTTTAAGAGCTGCATTTTGCTTTCAGATCAAGGAAAAATCTATAATATTGAATATTTGTAATAAAATGCATTAGAATAGAAGTTGATAATTTTTGTACTAAAATCCACAAAATTATTGGGAAAGATAAGATACATTTAAATTCGCGTTTCCGAATTTAAAACCCTTTAGCTTGAATTTTCTTAGTATCTCCAGCTGTTAGATTCGCTGTCGGATTTGGTACTCCTAAATTATTACTCACGTATAGAATAGATTACGGCGTAAAAATTTCCCATGCAATTCGGTTAATTTTTTTTTTGGAAACAATTTTCAAAACTTCCCAATTTTCCTTCATTACATATGAAATCAAATCTTATACTTAAAAATCCTTGTCGAGTCTCAACGTGATTGATCCTAAATATTGGCTTTGATGTGAAAGCCACAAAGCGTGTACCTAATCAAGTTAAATTTCTTGTTAATATTTACTTTTTTTTCAACACAACCGAATTTTTACTTGAAAACCACGATGGCTTATATTACCTAAAGCAATTTTTTCCTTGATCACTTTGAGAAAATTTGACTATTGATATAGTTTCATCAAAAAAAAAAAAAAAAAAAAAAATCAGTTTTTCTTTTTCTTCGATACAATGGCATATTATTCGGAAGGTGAAAAATCCGTTGAAATCTCAATAATTGATTCGGTTGGAAAATTTTACCTATATTAACTTGATCTATATAACTCGTAAAAGTCGATCATTAATTGATTACAATTCATTCTATTTTAAATAGCAATTTAAAGATCATCGACAAGAAGATTTCTTATATGATTTTGAAGAAGAATTAGATTATGTTAAAATAACGATAATTGAAATAGAGGAACATCGTAAACTTCTTTTATTAAATGAAGATGTCAAATTATATGAAGAAATTTGTTTATGGAAAGAGTCTAATCCAAAGAAATCACTTGCAAAAGCAATTGAAAATTTTGGTAATTTTAAATCCATTTTTTTTTTTTTTTTTGTCTTCACGCGATTTATTTATTATTAATTTATTTTTTAAAAACAGCAAAATTTAAGACAGCGGACGCAATTGCAAAAGTGATTTACAATTATGAATTTCCTGATTGCATAATCAAGTTTAATGAAAAAGGGGATAAAAAAGCCAAGAGAGTGAACAACCAGCGTAAACGATTAAATTTTGAAAAATTACTACTTCGTGCCGGATTAATTCTTGAATTCGAATTAGATCCTGATCGGATTTTCACTTATGTAAAAGTTATTGCACCATTTGAGAAATTGTGCTCGCAAGCGGAAAAACAAAAATTTAAAATGGAAATAGCTGTAATATGCGATCTTATCCGTTTTTGGTATTTATAAAAAAAAATTTAATCAAAATTTAACGGCGTTATTTAATTTTCTAGACTGAGAAGGCATTGAAATTCCCCAAGCGAAGATTCAATTTCTTTTCTTTGATCTCATATATGTTTGATTATAAAGTGGACCTTAATAAAAAATCCGCCGTTTTTAAAAGAGATCGATTACGATCTTTTAAAGGTGGTGATCCTTCAAAATCTGAAGGTGAAATTAGGTTAAATTTCTTTAGTTCGGCAAGACGAATTTTAATGGTGCGTATTTTATTTCATATTTGGATTTTTTTTTAAAATTTATTGAAAAATCACCTATTGCCTTTAATAGGTTCATAATATAATAAATTGCGCAACTCGAATTAATAATCAAATAAACGTAAATGGAAAAACTGTCACAGTTAGGAAGACAATAAAATCATTAGAAATCGAAACTTTATTAAAAAAAAAAGTTTTTCGTGATTTTTATTCATTACATGATGGTCCATTTAAATCTAATTTACCTTACGATCAAAAGAATTTAAGAGCAAAATTAGATCAAAAATGGGTTAAATCCAAAATTAGAACTCAGCCTTTAAAAAAAATTCGCAATTACTTTGGTGAAAAATTGGCTTTATATTTTGCTTGGCTAGGTAATGTAATGGATCATTCGGTAACCCTTTTTATATAATGTTTACGTGTATATAAATAAAAAGTAAAATCCTTGTAGGATTTTATACATCGTGGTTATCGATAGCAACGTTCGGGGGTGTCATTGTGGTCATATACGGACTAGTTGAAATATTAAGGTATTTAAAGTCCGCCTTTTTAAAATTTGTAAGATATAAATAATTCTTTACGTTATTTTATTTGTAGGCACGAAACTATAAATGATGAAATTGGAGGATTTTCAATTTTATATGACAATGTACTTACAGTTCCGTACGCGTTCATCATGGCAGTTTGGGGTAAATTTTCATGATATGCCAAGAATTCTATAAACGCAGAAATCAATTGATTTTTAAATTTTATTATTTATTAGCTACGATCTTTTTAGAGTATTGGAAGAGGGCTAACGCTGCAATTCAACATGAATGGGATTGTATTGAATTCGAAAAAGATGTTTGTAAAAGTTTTGTGTTTCGTATATCATATCATCATTCATTAACGGGACGTTTATTCATTAGGAACTTCCAAGACCAAAATTTTATGGAACAGGTTTTATCGCCTATTTTTTTTAACGATTAATTAATTATTTAGAATTGTAGAATGTAGAGTTAATTTGTTTTATTTTGTATTATCGTAGTTCTTGTGAAATCACCAATTACGATGAAAGATGAAATTATATTTCCATTCTCAGAGAAAATCAAAAGATACCTTGTATCTTTTGTAGTAATCTTATTTTGTGTAAATACTATGAATCAATCATTTTCTCATCATTCTTTCGTTTACCTTACTTATTATTTTGATTATGATTATTTATAGATCTCAGTAGTCTTGTTTTCCGTAGGATTTTTCATAGTTTACCCAAAACTATGGATTGAAGATGATACCTTGGCATTTTTCGCGTCAAGTTTCGCTAATTTAATATCAATCATCATATTAAATAAGGTCCATCATTTGCATCGAGTTATATTTGAAAAATTTGGTTTATTTTTTAAATTCTAACAACTTAAATTGTAACCTCCCCAAAAATCGTGATATGTAGTTATATTCTTACATAGCAGTATGGTTAACGAATCTTGAAAATCATCGAACCGATACCGAATATGAAGGTACGTGTTTCAAACCAAAATAAAATCTCTCAACTAAATTATTTATGAGAATTTTTTTTTTTTCTTTTTGATAGACGCATTAATTATAAAGACATTTCTTTTTGAATTTGTAAATAATTACGCGGCACTATTTTATATCTTTATCTTTAAGCAAGGAGTAAGTACGTTCTTACATGGTCAGCTTGGACATAACGTGATGAATTCAATTACTTCAATCACTTTTCTTTTAATATAGTTGATGAAAACCATCCTTCATAGTAATAGCATACAATCACAGTGTGATTATGATAATTGTATGACGGACCTAGCTTTACAACTTGCGATTATTTTCATCGGACGACAAGCATGGGCGCAATTCACGGAAATATTTATCCCGTAAGTAGTGAATGAAACGTTGAATTTTTTATTTTAAATCATATAAAGAGGATTTATTTTTTTTTTTTTCATTTTAAATTCGTATAGATGGATAAGACTAAAGTATAATAAGAAGAAAAATCAAAAGGAGCTGGAAGAATTACAAAAAATATATGCCGCATCAAGTCATTCGAAATTACCACAATGGGTGATGGATGAGAAATTATTAAAAACGGATTCAGTACAAGAAGAGTATACCGAATTGGTTCTACAATTCGGTTTCCTTACATTATTCGGTCCCGCATTTCCCTTGGCATCATTATTCGCTTTTTTAAATAACTTTTCGGAAATTAGATCCGACGCATTTAAGGTAGGGATTTGGATTTAAATGAATTTTTACCTTTTTCTTTTTTAAAGCAAAGAAAAAAAAAAAAAAATTAAAATTAAATTATTGTAGTATATACATTTATCGAGAAGACCATTTTGTGGCCAAGCGCAGGATTTAGGAGCGTGGGAATCAATTTTACAATTAATTTCCCTACTATCAGTATTAACAAATGCGATAATAATTGCATTTTATTCGACTTGGATGACTGACAAATTCGAAAAACATCTTGGTCAAGATAATCCCGATAGGTTATTAGTCGCTCGACTAACTTTCATCATTCTATTCGAAGTAAGTTTTAATCATCGATTCCAAGAAATTTAAATGATTCTAAACTTTTCTTTTTTTTTTTACTGATGAGTAATCCCCTCTTTGATTCAATTGATAAGCACCTTGTATTTGGAATTAAAACAATATTTACATATATTATATCAGATATACCAAAAGAAGTACGAATAGCTATTGAAAGGGAGCAATATAATATTAAATTACAATTAAAAGATAAACCTCCTGTATTAGATGAAATTTTTGTTACTAAAAAACATAAAACTAGACTTAGAAGAATGAAGACGCGATAAAATTATATTTAGTGAACGTAACTAACGATAATTTGTTTTTTTTTTATTTATTCTAAATTAAATAAATACAAATAATAAAAAAAAAAAAAACTATAAAATAAAATAATTTATGATTGATTAAACTAATTGAATTTATTACCGATCCAATACAGTCTTCGCGCATTCTTTATTGATTTCGAAAAAGGTTAATTTTTTTTTTTTTAAGATCCACTAAAAAAAAAAGTCCCACAACAAAACTTAAAAAAGTATAAAATCATTAATTATTATTAGTAACATAAAAAGGCTTTATTTTTGCATAATAACAACCTACTTGAAAAATAGGTGTACTCGTAAAAAGACCTCTTATACAGATCAAACTTCTATCTTCTGATTTTCCCGATATTAACATAGGCTTTTTGGTGTTTCCGAATTTATTCCGAGTTCTAATACAGCCCTAAATCAAGATCTCTCATCGCGCAAAATATATATATATACACAAAATAATAAAAAAAAAAATAATAAATATTTTTTTTTGGAGTATAATTATTATTATTTTTTTTTTCTTTATTAAGTCTATTATTATCTCATGCTGACACATAATACATCAAGCCATTATTGAATAATTATTTTAATGTCTTTAAAGGGCTACCAAATTTAACCAACACATAATTTAAACCAACTTGTAATCCATGTTTAACGTTAACTGCGTGGTTTACGTATTTCTAATCCTTTTTCCTTGGACGCATTTTTCTAATCCTTCTTCCTTGAAGCGCTGTTTGTTGACCAACATCTGATCCGCTATGAAAATTAAATATCGGGGGATTGATTGAATCTGGATTCATAGCTCCGTTAGACATATTAAAGCTTTGGTTTTGGTTTGAAGCAAATGGATTATTACTAAATCCTTGGCCATTACTACCATTCATTCCGTTGAAGTTAAAGTTTAATGAAGGAGGTTGGAATGAATTTTCTTGTTGATATGGAATCTTCGATAAATCACCTTGTTGCGACATATTTGAAAATTGGAACTGACCATTTGATGTCATTTGATTACTGAAATTATGTGAACTTGATGCTCCAAATCCAGTAAATCCGGTAAATCCAGTAGATGCATTAGAATTTTGGTTCGCACCAAAGATATTTCCAGAAGTCATTGGGCTTGGGCTTGCACCGAACCCGGTAGACGCCACATGACTTGAACTTGTTCCAAAAGTAAAAGTAGGAGGTTGACTTGTACCAAACACAGAAGCTGGGGCTGAAGATGACGAATTCGTACCAAACGATGGTAAACTAGATGGCACAGTAGAACCAAAAATAGGAGCAGTTGGTGTTGATAATGTTTGCTGCGTTTGGGGTATATTAAGATTAAAGGGTGGCTGAGACGGTGTCTGTGTATTAAATAATGTTGAACCTTCTTGCTTTGGAATGAAGGAGAAATTAAATGTTGTAGGAGTGGAACCTTGTAACATATTTGAATTTTGATCGACTGAAGAAGTTTTTGGACTCAATAACACGTTTTCCGAACCTGATCCAATCACAGAAGTTCCACACGAACGTTTATTCTTTTTGAACCGACCACTAGACTTATATGATTTTGTAGGTTTGTCTGATTTTCCATTATTGTCTCCATCATTCGAAACATTCGAAAAAATTGGATTACTACTAAACATTCCACTAGTATCAAATTTAAAGGGCTGACTCGTGGAAGGAGTTGGTGCAACTGAACCGAAAAAATTTGTCGTAACAGTAGTTGATGTAGCTGTAGAATCAGGTTTCGAAGCAAATGTCGGACTTGATGGCAAATTTTTATTATCTATCGACAAATTTTTAGCGAAAATTGAAGGAGCCGTTGTATTGTTCTGAAACTTTAAAACTGGATTTTCTTGCGGTTGAGACTGGAGTGCTTTAGTTATTTTCTCCTCCTCGTTTCCGTCATCTGTTTGGGATTTCCCTGTTTCCTTTATATTTTCTAATGGTAGAGTGGTTGTTGGTATAGATTGTTGGGCCTCCTCCTTCAAGCTATTTGAAACTAGAGGAGTAAAGGGTTTTGATGGTATAAACAGCGCCTTATTGGTACTAAAAAACGAATTAACGCTATCACTCTCAACACCTTTTTGTTCATCGGTTATAGGTGTTGATTGAGCTGATTTTAGTGGAAATTCAGTTAATGAATCCTTTTTTTCAGCAGTTTTAGTAGAATCAATAAATAAAGGTGTAGGAATTTGATCTTTATGGTTTTCACTAACAATTAAAGGAGCTGGTTTTTCAACTAACTTGTCATTCTTAGATTCAGACAATAAAGGAAATGGACTCTCATTATCAACAGGAATTTTATTGAACCAAGGTGAAGATTGTCGTGGTTCTATTTTATCTTTTGCGGAAGAATTCGCAATATGGTTGATCAATGGTGTTGGTGTGCCAATATTCTCAATTTCATGAGTAAACTCAATAGACTCCATTGAAGAAGGAGATTTTACGCTTTGTGAAGTGGTGACTGGAGTAGTTATATTATTTTCTTTGTTCTCCATTGTAATAGAAATTTCAGAAGGACCAGCGACAGGTGACTGATTTCCAATATTCCCAATCGAAGGGACGATCGTGCTGGGTGTCGTTTCTGTGATGAAATGTATTATTAATATTCGATATTTTACTTTGGTGTAAACATTATATATATATATATATATATAACAATAATAATAACATATTATATTCTAATATTTTTATTCATTCTTACCTATAACTGGCGGTGGTTGAATTGAAAAATAATTTTGGTCTTTCAACGGACTAATACGATTAGTTGCAGTTGATATTTTCTCAATCGGCTTATGTTCCAAATTTATATTTTCTGCCTTTTCTTTGCCCTTTTTGCTTCTATGTAATACTTTGTCTTTTTCAATAGTTTTTTCTTCAACCTTTCTCTTTTCAACTATATTTTCGGTCCTTTTTCTGTCAATCGCGTTCTCATCTTTATCCAATGGATAATAATCAAACCAACGTGGAGTAGGAACGATTGAAGGTTTGAATTTTTTAGGAGGTGGTGATTCTTTTGGTGAATTTAAGTTTTGATCGGGACCATATGTATCTGATGTGACCCTCAAAGAAGAGGCAAACTTAGGATATTTATCTGGATTGTTTTTAAATGGTTTATACCAATTTGGGCTAATGTTTTTACAATAAAGCTCTTTCAAATCTGGTTTATAAGTTTGGTCTTCAATTTGTTCCTGTTTTAACAGTTCCTCTTCAATAGCATCTATAGAAACAGATTTATCCTCGGATCTTTTACGTTTAATAGCATTGTTTTGTATCGTATCTGATCGATGATGACTTATTGAATTTAGACCATTTGGATTATTTATTGGCTCTGCGAATATCCTATTGCTTTGCACCAATCTTTCTTGAAAGATACCATTATGCTGCTGTTGATCTACATCCATTTCATTCTCAGTCCGCTGTTCATGTCTTGGTGATGTTTCACCCCTTTGACTCTCCCTTTGAGGAGTTGCTCTAACCGACTCAAATAAGCTTCTTAAAAAATTCGGCACAGAAATGAATTTATTGATTAGAGCACGCAACCAGTTTATCGATGCATTATCAGCCTGTGCAGGTCGGTTATTATTCCTTGAATAAGGTGTGGCTGAATGTAGCCGTGCTCTACGATTTCTTGTAGGTCCTGAGACCGTAAAACCGCTTGGACTTTCATAAGTACTGAGATCTGGAATCGGAAATTGCAGATCGAACTGATTGCCTCCACCGCTCATATTTAAACCTGCGTCCATTATAAGATCTATAAAATACAACCTTTATGTTCTTTGTTATATTGCTCTTCGGGTTTTTAATTTTTACGTTTTATTTTGCTTTCAAGTAATCTGTTAAAACTTAACTGTTAAGTATATTCATTTTTATTCAAAAACGGTATGTTGTATCATCATATAAACATTTATGTATCCCAAATTTGTTGATTGGCTAAAATCGGTTAAATGTGTAATAATGATCAGGAAACGTGCAGAAATGTATAATGAATAAATCATGTGACTTGATTTATACAGTTTCGCTAAATATATGCGCGGTGTCATAATTCGGGGCTTCTAATACTTACCGCGATGGCTCTCAAAACGAAATTTATTGTTGAAGAAGAAATGAATGTTTGATTTTACGTGTAAGTGTCAGGTTGTGTCCTTGAGAATACACAATTTACAACAATGTTATACAATATCTAAGCGTTCAATTAGGACATAATCGATTGACTATTTAACATGCCATTTCTGTTATTTTCCAGTTATTCGGGGTCCAAGCATATTATGAAT